ACAGGACAAATAAGAAATAAGTAACAGAAGGAAGGCACTGGAAACAAAATGAGTTGGGAAAGGCTTCCTGTAAAAGGTGGCATTTTAGTTAGGACTTAAAGGAAGCCAGGGAGCTCAGTAGTCAGAGCAGAGAAGGGAGAGCATTCCAGGCTTCTAGGACAGCTAGAAAGAATGCAAGGAGCTGAGAGGTGGAGTGTGTTGTTCATGGAATAGCAAGGAGGTCAGTGTAACTGGATCAAGGAGTAAGGTAAAAGCAGATTAGGAAGATAGAGGGAGGCTAGGTTATAAAGGGCTTTAAATGCCAAACAGAGCATTTTGTATTCAATCCTAAGTGCAATTGGAGTCATGGAGTTTATTGAGGAAGGGATCAAACTTGCACATGGGAGAATTGCTTTAGTGGCTAAATGAAGGATGGATTGGACTAGGGAGAGACTTGAGGCAAACAGACCCACCTTCAGGTGATTGCAATGATTTAGGCATGAGGTGATAAGGGCCTTCACTAGAATGGTGGCAGTATCAGAGGAGAGAAAGGGGTGTATTCGAGAGATATTGCAAAGGTAAAGTTAATGGGTCTTGGCAACAGCTTGAATATGGTGGGGGTGGGGGGAGAGATAGTGAGGCATCCAGGATGACCCCTAGCTTGCAAGTCTGAGTGACTTGGAGGATGCTGTTGCCCTCTGCAGTAATAGAGAAGGTGGGAGAGGAGGAGGGTTTAGGGAGAAAGATAATGAGCTCCATTTTGAACACATTAAGTTTAAGATGTCTACTGGACATCCAGTTCAAGACATCTGAAAAGCAGCTAGAGATGCAGATTGGAGGTCATCAGAGAGATTGGGGCAGCACAGGTAGACATGAGAATCATCAGCAAAGAGAGTAAATAAAATCCATGAGAGCTGATGAAATTACCAAGTGAAGCAGTATAGAGGGAGAAGAGAAGAGAACTTAGGTCAGAACCCTGAGGGACACCTATGATTAAAGGGCATGATCTGGAAGAGGATGCAGCAAAGGAGAGAGAGGAGGAGTGGTCAGATAGGTAGGAAGAGAACTAGCAGAGAGTAGAGTCCTGAAAACTTAGAGAGAAGAGAGCATCATAGAGAAGAGAGTGATCAATAGTGTCAAATGCTACAGAGAGGTCAAGAAGAATGAGGATAGAGAAAAGGCCATTGGATTTGGCAACTAAGAGATCATTTGCCACTTTGGAGAAAGCAGTTTTGGTGGAATGATAAGGTTGGAAGCCAGTTGTAAGGGGTTAAAAAGAGTATGAGAGGAGAGAAAGTAGAGGCATTCATATTGTAGGTGACCCTTTTGAGAAGTTTAGTTACAAAGAGCATAAGAGATAGAGGATGATATTGTAAAATTACTCTTTTTTTCTGGGTTTACCTCTTGTGTGTCTCTAATTCTAAGGTTTTTCTTTCTGTTCAGTGTTTTCTTCTGTTTACTCATATTTCTAGCCTTTGGAATACATTTTCAATATTAAGACTTATGCTTGGATCAAACTCCACTCCCATATTCTTCAACGGTGTGGGTAGGCCCTGCTTGATCTTAAGGTTGTTGGCTAAGACAGGGCCTAACCTTGTGTGGGACTTGTCTGACCTTATCTCCTGCAGGCCTACAGGCCCAGACTGGCTGGGTGCTGCGCTGGATCTATCTCCTGCTATAGATGGAGCCACTAGCTCCATGAGTCAGCTATCATTAAGCACCACTTTGTTCCCATCTCCTACTCTAGAATCAGGTTGATTTGCACTTTGCCTTCTACCTACCCCAGCTTGAAATCCTTTCCATATTTCTGGAGGATTTTGACAGTCTTAGTACAATGCCTGGCACACAGTAGGAGCTTTTAAAAAAAAGTCTTTCTTCCCTCCTTCCTTCCTATATGGTTTGTTGTTCATTTCAGTTGTGTCCAACTCTCCATGACCTCATTTTCAGTTTTCTTGGCAAAGATACTGGAGTGGTTTGCCATTTCCTTATCCAGTTCATTTTACAGATGAGGAAACCTAGGCAAACAGGGTTAAGTGACTTGCCCAGGTCACAGAGCTAATAAGTGTCTGAGGCTAGATTTGAACTCAGGTCCTCCTGACTCTAGGGCAGGTACACTGTCCACTGCACCACCTAGCTGCCTTCCTATAGGGTAGGTATCTAATAATTATTTATTAAATTATCCAGATTTAGGGCTCCTAGACTTTGTGCTTCAAACTCACTCAGTTCCCTTCTCCCAACTTTATGTTCTAAGCTCTCCCTGATCTTTAGGACCCTAGCTTCTCATCTCTTGTGCTTAGGTCCACTTATTTCTCAGCCCTGAAATATAGTTCTTCATTTTCTCTGTACTTGAGCTGAGTAGGAGTATTTAGGCCTAGATCTTTATATAGATAGAAGATATATAGGATGACTAAAAAGGCAGAATAATGGTGAGTCTCTGTACATAGAGACATAAGCTTGGGCACTATCCAGGTCCACTGAAGCCAGGCTGACCTCTCATTGCT